AATAATATTGAATGTTCTGCATGTGCATGAAGAAAGCTTCTGTAGAGAAATGTGACCAAAATTGTAGGTTTCATGTTTTAAAATCAGAAGGAGAATAGAAGTTACAAGAATAGGATAGAAGAGACAAACGATACCAATATAAGACATATAGAAAGAGTAGTTCTGCAGAACTTTAGTTTTGGGATATGTGAGTGCTGGATTCAGACATAAAATGTACTTCTTACTTTGGGGTCATGGGTAAAAGTTTGCATACTGCTCTCTCAGGATTGTATACACAACCTTAACCTATTACTGAATTTCCCTACAAAATGGTGGTACCAGTTTACAATCCCACTGGTGTTTCTGTTGTTCTGCATTCTCCCCAAAAGTTTGATTGGACTTAAAAATTTTTGTCCATCGATGAATATGAAATAGTATCTCACTGTGGTTTTACTTTGCCTTTTCCTGATAACTAGTGAGATTGATGTTAATCTTTTTTTAAATACAGAAATATTAATATATTAGCTAGATATTTGATCAGTGTTGAAAATGGTTATAGGCATAATCCTCAGTGGCATATTATAAGTATATTTCCATGAATGGATGAAATGACTTACTAATACTAATGATTGACAGTCGAGGGACTTACATGGTTTAATTTTGAATTTTCTCTTTATACACTATAATCTGTGCTCAGTTCTGTGAACCTTAATCTTTGAATTTGGCATAATGACGTTCTATTTATATTCATACAAGACTATCAGTAGCCATTAGTAATAGCGTCATCTTACTGATTTAAATATTAACATTTTATACATATGTTTGCATTGATACCAGACCAGTATTTTTCTTTCAAAATATTTTAATGAAAATACATGCATGTGATATTAAAAAATATAAAATGGTAAAAAATTAGTCTGTCATCTTTCTGTCTCCCAGGTCTCCTTCCCAGAAGCAACTACTTTAAAAAAGTTCTCACATGATCTCTTAGATATGTATACTTAATCATTTCCCCTTTTTCTTTCTTTTTTTTGTTTCTAATTTTTCTCATTTGAGATTGTTTTCATTTTTCTGTAGCTGTTTTTTTTCCTTCATTTAATAATGTAGATTAAAGATTTTTCATTTAGCACATGTGAATTTTTACTTTGTTCTTTTCAGTTGCTAGATTGGATTCCATTGTGTAGGTGTATCATAATTGATTTTAAGTATTGATTTTAAGTATTCATTTAAGTAATTCAAGTATTGATGTATATTTAAGACACAAAACCTAACTTTTATAAACGGTTGCACTAAGAACTTAAATTCATGTGTTTATATGTCTGTAGGATAAATTTCAGGAGGTAGAATTGCTGGATCAAAGGGATATTCATTCAGATAGAGTTTTGCTAATTGCTTTCTAAAAAAAGTGAGCAAATTTATTCTTTACAAGTAATGCTTCAGAGTGAACTGACCAGTATTTAATGTTAAATTTCAAAAGTGCTCACATTGTTCCATAGAGAGAGAGAGAGAGAGAGAGAGAGAGTGTGTGTGTGTGTGTGTGTGTGTGTGTGTGTGTGTGTGTGTGTTTGTCTGTGTATCGTAGTCATAGTTCAAATAGAAGCTATTTTGTGGTTTTCAGCTAGATAGTGTAGAATGTAGAATTTATGAACCTTTTTGCCTTTGTTCTTTTACATCTCTTATACTAACAGAAAACTAACAGATTTTAGCTTAACATAAAGCTGGATGAAATGTTAAAAAAGAATGATACAATGGTTATCCAAAATCTTTCAGAATGTATGAATGCTGATAGTTTAAAATTGGACATTAAATTAGACAATATTTGTGTTACTGCCTTACAGTAACATCTGGAAGGAACACAGGACTGTTTCTATAAGCAACTTTATCTTGTTTGCTGACTTGTGTTTCTTCTACTCTCTTATTTGAGGATATTTCTCTAGGTTCAATCTTCTCTTTTACTCCTGTTCTGCTTTCTCTCATTTATACTTACACAGATGAGTCCCATAGTTTACAGAAGAGAGTGAACGGACTGGATTACCCATCATGATGCTTACTAGTGTAGTGCTTTGGTGATTTAACTGAATCTGTTCAAATTGCATCTGTGTGTAGATGGTGTCAGTTTTGTGAAGTTTGCTGAGAGGGAGGAGGTTTCTTTCTATTCAGGCTCACCAGCAATGTCTGGCCCAGAGGGATCCCTTGGGCTTTTTTCTGCAGAAAGTATAGGTATATTCTTATTTGGAAAATTTATTTTCTAGTGAGTGAATAGTGGGGGTCATTGTATAAATTAAAATCTTGACTTTTTGTATTCTTCATTATACTTTCATCTCTTGGTATCGTTTACCAAGCTTGAGGGTAGGGGAAAGGAATGGAGGAGGGTGGGGGAGGCAGTTAAGATGGTACCAGCAACCCAAAATCATGGTTTATAAAATGTAATTGTACGAAAATGAATTTAATGTTAGTAGATCTTGCTAAAATTATTTCTGATATTTAAAAATATACTTTCGATATTGTAAACATTAGGACAGACTTGTTTTTTTTTATTTATACAGCAGGGCTTATTGTAATAGCTCACAGTTTTGTTAAAAGGGAGATGGGTGTGCTTATTATAAACTAAGCTCTCAAATGCTATATATTGATATTTATATACATACATATATATTCCTGGACATAACATCCTATAAATGGGGGAACAGATGCATCAAGTTGCTTAACTAGTCTTCACCAGTGTGGCTTAGTTGGTGGACATTGTCGATTTGCTTCCCGGTCAGCGGTCATGCCTAGGTTGCGGGTTGGGTCCCCAGTTGGGATGCCTGTGAGAGGCAGCTGATGGGTGTTTCTCTTTCTCTTTCCTTTTCCCTCTCTCTTTGAAAAAAAAAAACCAAGTTGCTTAGTTGACTGCTTAAAAAGTTAGACTGTTGTTAACTCCATCCCCCTCTTTTCTCTGTATTAGAACTCTACTCTCTTCTTCCTTTTTACTCCTTCCTTTCTGTCTCACCCGTAACCTTGTGCTTCATGGTAGAACTCCCCTTTTGGCTCTTAGGAAGTTAGGCCTTCTGGCAGAGGAAAGGGGTGCTATACTGCACCAGAGAACTTCCTGTCTGGTTGTTGAGAGGCATTTGTGCATTGGACCTGACAAAGTGTGATATCTGTGGTGCCTGTTACCTTACATGGAGATGTTTTTTCTTGCTTATGTTGTCAGCTCTTTCACAAATGTGCTTTTTTAAAAGAAAAAAAATTACTATGGTTACTCATAAACCAGTTAACCCCTCTATGGAATTGAGAGCTGATTATAATTTACTTTTTTTTTTCACTTGTAGTTTGCAATATAATGGGAAAATTTTGAGTTTAGATTTTGTCTTTTTCCCAATTATAGTTGACACTCAATATTACTTTATATTACTTGCAGATGTACAGCATAGTGATTAGACTATTACAATTATATAATTTACGAGATGATCCCCTTGATAAGTCTAGTAGCCGTCTGTCACCATACATAAGTTAATCCAGTGTTATTGACTATATTCCCTATGCTGTATTTTACGTCCTGTGACTTTTGTAACTACCAATTTGTACTTCTTAGTCCGTTTGTCTTTTTCACCCATTCCCCTAACCCCTCCTCCATCTGCCATTTCTCTGTATCTATGAGTCTTTTTCTGGGTTTTGTTTGTTTGTTTGTTTGTTTTCTTTTGATTCCACATGTAAGTAAAATCATATGGCTTTGTCTTTCTCTGACTTATTTCACTTAGCCTAATACCCTCTAGGTCAATTCATGTTGTTGCAGATGGTAACATTTCATTCTTTTTTATGATGGAGTAATAGTTCCTTGTACGTTTGTACCACTTTTTCTTTATACACTTTACTGATGGCCACTTGGGTTGCTTTTGAATTAGTGTTATATATTTCTTCGAATACCCACAAGTGGAATTCTGGGTCGTGAGGTAGTTCTATGTTTTTTAATTTTTGAGAAACCTCTACACTGCTTTCCAAAGTGGCTGCACCAATTTGCATTCCCACCAACTGTGCTTGAGGGTTTCCTTTACTCAACCTCCCCAACACATGTTGTTGGTTGATTTATTGACTATAGCCATTCTGACAGCTGTGAGGTGATATCTCATTGTGGTTTTAATTTGCATTTCTCTGATGATTAGCGACATTGAGCATCTTTTTATATGTCTATTGGCTATTTGTATGTCCTCTTTTGAGAAGTATCTATTCAAGTCCTCTGACCTTTTAAACAAGTTTTAAATGTATTATTATATTTTTTATCCTCACTTGAGGACGTGCCTGTTGGTTTGGGAGAGAGGGGAAGGGAGGGAGAGAAAAAGGGAGAGAAACATTGGTATAAGAGAGAAACATTTATCAGTTGCCTCCTGCATGTGTCCCTACTGGGGACTGACTTGGACAACACTCCAACCAGACGAGCCACACTAGGCAGGATTCCTGTGCCCATTTTTTAATTGAATTGCTTGTTTGGTGTTAAGCTGTGTGAGTTCTTTATGAATTTTGGATATTGACCCCTTAACAGATATATCACTGACAAATATCTTCTCCCAAACGGTTGGTTCTTTTTTCATTTTGTTGATGGTTTCCTTTGCTGTGCAAAACTTTTTTAATTTGATGTCGTCCCATTTGTTTATTTTTCCTGTTGTTTCCCTTGCCCAAGGAGATATAGCAGAAACAATATTTCTAAGAGCAATATCACAGAGTTTACTGCCTATGTTTTTACTCAGGAGTTTTATTGTTTGGGGTCTTACATTTAGGTCTTCAATCCATTTTGAGTTTATTGCTGTATATGGTGTAAGAAGGTGATCTAGTTTCAGAATTTAGATTTTCTATAGGCTTAATAAGTAGAGCTAAATCATTGCTTCTTGGTGTTATTTTAACTTCACAGTTACTAGAAAAATAGAAGTATGTTTATATAATTTTTGAGGTATATCTATACCTCAAAACAGGAAAAATTGGAAAACCCTTAGTTGGTAGAAATGATATGTTGATTTGTAATTATACCATTTCTTTATTTACAGGTAGGCGAAAACCAAGAGTACATCGACCTCGTTCTCCAATATTGGAAGAAAAAGATATCCCACCCCTTGAATTTCCCAAGTCCTCTGAGGATTTAATGGTGCCTAACGAGCATATAATGAATGTTATTGCCATTTATGAGGTACTGCGGAACTTTGGCACTGTTTTAAGGTTATCTCCTTTTCGCTTTGAGGACTTCTGTGCAGCTTTGGTGAGTCAAGAGCAGTGTACACTCATGGCGGAGATGCACGTTGTGCTTTTGAAAGCAGTTTTACGTGAAGAAGACACTTCCAATACTACCTTTGGACCTGCTGATCTGAAAGATAGCGTTAATTCCACGCTGTATTTCATAGATGGAATGACGTGGCCGGAGGTGCTGCGGGTGTACTGTGAGAGTGATAAGGAGTACCATCATGTGCTTCCTTACCAAGAAGCAGAGGACTATCCTTATGGACCAGTAGAGAACAAAATCAAAGTTCTGCAGTTCTTAGTCGATCAGTTTCTTACCACAAACATTGCTCGTGAGGAATTGATGTCTGAAGGGGTGATCCAGTATGATGACCATTGTAGGGTTTGTCACAAACTTGGGGATTTGCTTTGCTGTGAGACATGTTCAGCGGTGTACCATTTGGAATGTGTGAAACCACCTCTCGAGGAGGTGCCAGAGGATGAATGGCAGTGTGAAGTCTGTGTAGCACATAAGGTGCCTGGTGTGACTGACTGTGTTGCTGAAATCCAAAAAAACAAACCATATATTCGACATGAACCTATTGGATATGACAGAAGTCGGAGAAAATACTGGTTCTTAAACCGAAGGCTCATAATGTAAGTAAATCTGGTCTTGATTTTTGTATGATTTAATAGTAAGCCAGTTTCTTTCATGATGTAGCAGAATTATGCTTCTGATGTGATCCAAATCTTTGTGTTTTAATAATAAATTGTGTAGTTAAGTCTCCAACTCGCAGAAATAGTTACATTAAAAGTTTTTAAAATTGTAATGAAAGAAGAGTATACTTAAAAAAAAAAAGCAAAATATACAAAATTGTTTTCAGTGCCTAGGCTGGGAAGTAGGAGACTCTTAGGCAGAATGGCTCTGTGGGTCCTTCTCCCTTTATGTTTCCTCAGCCCGCCCTGAGGTGATCTTCACCCTCATTAGAGTTTCCTTGCTTCTCTTTTTAGTTTTACTACGTCTGTATATAAATGGAACAGCAAGAACAAACCAACTGTCTAAGGAAAGATCAGTTCTGCCATTAGTGGCCACAGCCTCCCATAAGGTAGGCCCAGCAGGCCCATGGTCACAGTCTGGCTTCTGCTTTCCAGAGGGTCCTCAAGAGGCTCTCCCAGGCAGGTCAGCGGGACGGGCAGGAGGCTATCTGGGAAAGCAGAGGGTTTACCACAGTCGAGGTACTAGGCAGGGTTGTAGTGTGGATTTGGTTTTGGACATCCTGTGGAAATTCGGTCAGAGGGAGTGGGCTACTTTGTATTTTTAGCTTCTAACAGGGTGTCCAACATTTTGGTGTCTCTGGGCCACACTGGAAGAAGAAGCGTTGTCTTAGGCCACACCTTAAATACACAAATACTAATGAAAACTGTTAAGCAAAAAAAAAAAAGGTTTTAAGTAAATTTACGATTTTGTGTTGGGCAGTATTCATAGCCATCCTGGGCCTCATGCAGCCCACAGGCTGTGGGTTAGACACCCCTGTAAGTTTTCAAAGCCTTCCTCCAGTTCTCAGAATTAGGTTGAATTAGGTTAAATTAGGAAATCTGTGGCGGGATGAAAAGAATGTCAGAGCAGGGCATGAAGAGAGCAGGATCTTCATCTGTATGTGGTTGGGCCAAACCAGGTAGAGATAAGTATCTTAGCCATGCTCACCCTTAGTTTATAAACATGGTACAGAGTAAGCAGAGATCTTCAGAATTTTTTGCAGTTATTTTGTTGCTGCACTGCTGTTGAGAAATTTGAATCTGTTCATTGATTGTTTGTATGTGACTAGTTGGGACATATCTGGAAGCTTACAGAATCATTGCCTCCAGTGTTCTGTAGTTTTATTAGAGTGATGTTCTGTTGGTCTCTCTTAATGCATTGGGTATTTGGTGGCCACTTTCAATCTGGTAGTTAAGTCCTTTGATGTTTGTTTTGGTCTCTTCCATCCTCTGATGTCTATTAAGCCTTAATTTTTTGCTCCTGATTAACACTGTGGGACTATACGAGTGATTGGAAGCTCTGAGCAAGTAGGCAGTCCTTACCAATTAGAAGCTTTACTGTTGGGTTATTTTCCTATTCTATTTTATTGGGAATCCCTGATGTCACTGTCTCTATTCCTTCTTCTTGAGCTGGTCAGATGGCCCAGATAGGTCCTTTCTTGGTGTTCTGCTTGGAGCACGAGGGTCTGGCTGGCTGAGTGGTGGAAGCGGGCTGTACTTCACATGCATACAACATTTACTGTGTGCATAGCCACTCAGTGGCCTTGATTTTCTATGCATTCCCCTTGTTCACACCTGAGCCTGGTCCAGAGAACCTGTTTAACCTTTAGACACTAAGCTTTTGGTGGACTGCAGAGGATAGGTGGTTTAAGGATCTGCTCCTTAAACAGCACTCAGGCAGTCCTCTGCTGTATATACCTCCTTCCTTATTTTTCAGTACCTTAAAAAAATTATTTATTTTAAAGATTTTACTTATCTTTTAGAGAGAGGGAGAGGGAGGAAAAAGGAGAGAGAGAAACATTGATGTGTGAGAGAAACATTGATCTGCTGCCTCTCGCAAACTTCCCAACCGAGTGCCTGACCCACAACCCAGGCATGTGCACTGGCTGGAAATCGAACTGGTGACCTTTCAGTTCGCAGGCTGATGCTCAACCCACTGAAACACACCAATCAGGGCTTCAGTACTCTGGGTTTTTTTTTTTAAAAAGAGATTTTATTTATTTATGTTTAGAGAGCGGAGCAGGGAAGGAGAAGGAGAAGGAGCGAAAAACACCGATGTGCGAGAGAGATAGATCAGTTGCCTCTCTCACGCCCCAGCCGGGGGACCTGGCCCACAACCCAGGCATGTGTCCTGATTGGGAATCGAACCTGTGACCCTTTGGTTTGCAGGCTGGCACTCAATCTGCTGAGCCACACTAGCCAGGGCTAATGCCTTTTAAGGAGAGTTATTGTTGGTTCTCAGCTGCACCCTTTTGGTCTGAGGCTTGGGCTTTCTTGGCTCTGCTAAGGTGGTTATCACTTGTCCATTTGCTTTTCTACTTCCAAAAATTTTTTGCCTCTCCCTATTTTCTTTATCCTTGAACTTTGTCTTTAAAAATATTTGTTAAGCAGTTTAAGAGGGTTTTAGGAGGCAGCAAAATGAGATGTGTGGATTCCTATTACCTTAATCCAGAAACTGATATGAAAAACAGTAAAATTTTATATACAGTTGGTTTGGATCAGTTATTTTTGGAAATTTGTGTAATTTTTTTTCTTGCCTCTCACCTCCCAGATACCTGGTCAAGGTGTTTATTATGCCTCTCTCTCTCTCTCTCTCTCTTTTTTTTTTTGACATCTTGTTATGGAGGTGGTGGCATGGAAACCTTTGTTGGCAAAGATGAGGTAACTGTAACCATATTTTGGGTTGAAGTTTAATTCTGTATTTCATTTTAAATGAAGTCAGTGACACTGTCTTTATAGACAGACAGCAAGTAGTAGGCCATGTTCACTGAGTCTCAAATGCCCTCCCCCAAAGGACTCAGAGTCATTAGGATTGCTGTGAACACATTAGGAAGTAAGTGAAATTTATTCTATGCTCCTCTTCTACCATTCCTATGCTTCCCTCTCTTATCTTCCTTTCTTCACCCTTTGGATGTTCATTCTTACTGCCTCTCACTTCCTTTCCTGTGTTGCACTTTTGGGACAGGGAGAGGCCTAAGGTGCTAGGTCCACATACAGGTAAGCACTGACATCTGTAAGGCTCATTTCAAAATAATGAGTGGTCTAGGCCTTGGTTTTGAGATGTCAGACCTTAGTTTAAAGTTGGTGATGGGCTAGTGTAACAGTAGCCAACAGCAACGTTTATTGAGCACTTATTATGTGCCTGACAATGTTATAAGCATTTTAGAGATGTTTTTTCATTAGTTCTCACAAGAACCCAATAGTGTAGGTACTGTTCTGTCTGTGTTTTACAGATGAAGAGACTGAAGCTCAGAAAAATTAAGTTAAACTTGCCCTAGGACTTGGCTGTTAGAAAGTGACACCTGGAATTTTTTCCAGAACCTGTTTCTGGAAAAATATTTTCCATAACTAATTTTATACTGTAGCATAGTTTCCAAGCCATCATCTTCAGAAGTCTGCAACTTGCTTTGATTTAGCTATTAAAATCAATGCTTATAACGGGGGGGAGAAAGATAGTGTAATGGTTTTTGTTACTCCTGTGCAGGATATTTCTGAGATCTTTAAAAATTTAAGACTAAAGCATTTTTAGAAAATATAAAATAACTTAAGTGCCATTCCAAAAATGTTTTGTTTCCTAATAAATCTGTATCAGTATACAAAACAATACTCAGGCAAGCAGGAAAGGAGTTTTTTGAATATAGTTAAATAAGTGCAAGCTTTTGAAATTGCATGAATCAGAGGACTTAAGATGTTACCTTTTGAAGCACCACTAGATGGATTTGTGCCACATTACTGAAGAAATGAAATAGTTTGCTTTTCTAAATTGAACAGTAAAATTCTTTAAGTTACATGTACGACAATAAAACTATCCATTTAAATTCTTTTGTTTTGAAAGATGTAATCATAGTCCCTCAAATTGCTTTTGTAAATGCATAATGAAATATGCTAAATTTAATGAAGATTTCAGACAAATAAGGATATGTTTATCCTTTAACATTTGACTGTTTTCTTTGTAAAGTCAAATATGAAACTTCAAATATCATTGTTAGTGATAATTAAATATTCCTTGGGAATAATTTGAGTAAATCTGAGCGATTATCTTTCTAAAGTTAAAGACAGTTTCAGTTTAAGTGCCCTCTTATGGTAGGTAATATGTGTACTCCTGGCGAAAGTTTTGAAGTCATGTACACTGCTCTGTTCACAATATATGATGATTTGGTATACACGCTCCATGAAAGCCCAGAAGTTGAAAGTGATGAATCATGTTCAAGGAAGGCATACCTAAAACAAAGTCTGGGAAAGTGAACAATTTTTAATTATATTGCTAGTAGTTTGTAGAAATAAGTTATTCCATTATTGCTTTTATTTGCTTAATACTAACTTAAAAATGTTTTTTGTATAGGTTAATGAAGCATATAATAAACGAAAGGTTCTTTTTTGTCTGCCTCGGGAACCAAGATTTTGGATAAACAATTTAGTGATTGATTTTAATCCAGTATATGAGAGCCAATCTTTCTTAAATATTGCTTTCATCCTATTAATATTTTGCTCTGAAATTGGGACTTTCAGTAAAATAAGAATTGCTAAATCAGAAAAATTGACCTTTCACCTGTCACCCTATGAATAAAATTACCTTGAATACAGCATTTAAGAAATCTGTATTTTTTTATTTGCTAAATAAACTAAATTTTACTTTTTAACGTCCACAGCTTTCTACTTGCCTCTCCTCATTCTAGCTGTAAGCTACCTATTTACTTGTTGGCTTGGCTGCCATCAAACCTACATCTGTTACCAGCCTTCCGCCCATTTCCAGTTCTGTATGTCCAGCAGCAATAGGCACCTCCTAACATGTCTAAAATGGAACTCATCACATCCCTCCCATTCTCTGCCCTTCATTCAGTGTTCCCATCTTAGTAAATGGGATCACTATCAACCAGCTGCTCAAGCTAGAAACCTGAGAA